TATAATAGTAAATGTAAGTATTGCTTTAATATTTTTATTTATTTATCTTTCAACAAATAATCATTTCGTTGTTAGTTCTAATATTATAACGTCAGTAACTATGAACACTAGCTCTAAAAATCTGTTTTTGACGATAAAGAAATACAGAAACGTTCAGAAAAGTGTGGTTTGGCCTCTAGATGACGGTATTTTATGCCTCCCGTCTGGATACTTGTATGGTCTCATTCAGACTCTTGAACATCAGCGGGAAGAGAAAATTTGCATAAACGTCCGTGTGCGCCAATGGGCTCGTCGATTGGGCGGGGCTAGCGGGTGGAGCCGCGGGAGGAGCGCAGTCTATGCGCCAGTGACTGCTGCTCACTGAATAACAAACGCAGAGATTATCAAAAATCCGTCCATTTCTCACGACCGTGTTTAAAATTTACGACCATTCGAAGCACCTCCGGCCACGTGCATCTAATAGAGCCTCGGTTTCGCGAGGAATTCTGATGTAGAATTATCTCAAATATTTTTTCCCCCATATTTCCTCTGGATTACACAAAAGGCGGCACGGACACTCATTGTAGTATCCTTCTATTCGGTAAGTCCCAATGGCAATCTGTGCTCTCATTTAACATGCATTATTTATTGTTTTAGGATATCATATAATACAGCTGAAGTGATTTGGGATTGCATGTCTGCTCATATCTGTTTCATCAGATCCATCTATGATAAAACATGAAGATATAAATGATGGAGTTATTGCCTTTGAGTTTTAAGGTGTGATGGGGTTAAAAAAAAATAACATCAAGACTTCCTTTTCTGGAGACACAAGAATGTTAGAATGCAGATGTTTCTGAACACACAGCATCATAAAACACCACCTATATGATAAATGATAATAGCATGACCCAGTGTAAAATTATGTAACACTTAAAGTGTCTCTGCTGAGAGTGATAGTATGCCTTTATTAGAAACGCATAGCCATCCTCATTAATAATTAGATGACTGTTTTTGATCAATAATGGTTAGGCCTTACACTGTGAGGAGTTTGTCAGAGCCCTCAATGAAATATGAGTACAGGACTGCAGTGTACAGATACTTTATGTATACTATCAATATAAGCAACATAATAATTAGCACAGAATGATTAAAATACAAAAAAGTAGATTAATTATCTTTATGTTCTTAGTTGATGTAGTCATACTTGAATGCATTGGAAAGCCTCTGCTGGCAAATAAAAATTAGGCTGTATACTGAAGTATTTAAAATAGTTGAAAATACTGAAAATAGTTCTTCTGTGGAACACAAATATATATATATATATATATATATATATATATATATATATATATATATATATATAGGTCCAAAACCACATTGGAGTCTTCTGGCTTTAATGGGTGAAGGGGAAAAAAGAAAAGAAAAGAAAAAAAAAAGATCAAACAAACATATTTTAGAATATGTTCACACACAGAGGAATGACATAGAATGATTACTGAATTTTCAATTTGGTGAAATATCCCTTTCAATCTTTTAAGTCTGGTGTGGTTTTCCCACATTACATTATATCATAAGATGTCAGTGTTAATTTTTACATACTTTTTATCACCCATTTAACTTGCTACAGTAATTTCTGGCATTTATTCTCATGTGTTCAGAAGTCCAGCTCGATTCTTTTCATCAGTACTGCTGGTTGTAACTTTGACCCCAGTTTGATTTTACTTAAATTAAGGTAGTATTTAATTTTTTACATTACATTAAGCTTTGTACATTATCTGACCTTTACAAATACTTTATATATTCTTAAATAGTCAACTTATATTAATAAATTGATTTATTCAATTAAAATACTAATTCAGTCTTGTATACTTGCACTTCTAAACCCAAAATGCAAGCCTATATGGGCTAGTTTAAGAAATCTTGTTCAAGAATATGAATGATTGTAGGCTATTTTCTATTCATTCCCCTAGTGTACAGTCTTCTTGGGCTGGTGTGAAAGTAATTCACACAAACTATAAGTACCCTGTAAGCAACTTTTCTTTGCTGCACTATTTAATCACTCGTCACTAGGGTTGGGTATCGTTTGAATTTGAACGATTCTGATTCCGATTCCGATTCCTTGTTTCGATTCCGGTTCCTAACGATTCTCGATTCCGATTCTTTTAAGAGGCAGGGTCAAAAATGTTAAGCTAACCAACGGTTAGATTGTTTTTTTTTCCATTTTCTTCTTTCTGAAGAAAATAATCCTTTCTGAAGGAAATACTCCTTCTGTTAAAATACACAAATTTTGCATTTTGCCGAGATTTCGTTATTTTTAGAAAAGTGAAGCCACACTTTGGATCGCTGACGTAAGGTACTCATGTTCGACTCGCGTGGTTATGCCAACACTTCCGGTAGACGCTTCTTCGTTGGTGTTGTTCAGCGGTTTCTTCTTTCGCTCGGCGGACTGTGAATATCGAAACTAGGAATCGAAACTTTAACTTTTGAACGATTCCGGGAAAAACGAAAAGTTAGTCCCGGTTCCAATCGATACTCGATTCTCGATACCCAACCCTACTCGTCACACTGACTATTGGACTGCATGTCCATAAAAGCTGAATGTTTTTTTTTTAACTGTCCTGAGTGGGTACCGTCTGTTCCGCGTGTCTGTGGTGTAAGTCTGCGCCCCATTGTTATCCAGATGGATGAACAAGAGGACACAGCAGCTGAAACCACATAGCATAAGGGCAAAGGGCAATCAGACGGCTGCCATCTAAGCCGTGGCACTGGAGAAGGATGTCATTTCCTTTGTAATAATAAGGGTGTGACTTCTAAACAATGGACTACAATTCTGCGCCATACACAGAGCAGTTGCTTGAAAAAGCCATTTCCGTTTTTTTGCTGAGCCATTCTTCAATTGCAATGGGTGAATTGTGTCGAGGGATTTGTGTCTTTGTGATTTGGTTTATTTATTGTCATGTCTCATAATTTGACAAAAGATTGTGGCTTATCTCACCACCAGGCCTTCATAATGTATCAAATGAAAAGATCATCTTCTGGTCCACATGGTACATAACAAGTGGCCGCAAGCTTGTGCTTTGCTCCAGTTTAGATCTCTAGTTCAGTATTTGTACTGGCTCCGCTACTATATGTGTGTGTTTTATTAGAAATATATTTAGTATATATATTTTTATACTGCATACATACAAAAGACCATTCATTTATTAGGATTTGATTTGCAAGAGGACTTATGTAGCTATATGAATGTAGAAATCGTTTGCCAGGAAACTTAGCAGGCAACTTTTGGAAAAAATGACTCTCCCTGTTGCCTCCGCATTTGTGTGGAAAGTCCTGGAGTCATTCAAAGTAATCACATCAAAGTGTGCATGGCATTCAGCTGTGAAAATCAAAGTCGTTTAGCTCAATTTCTAAAGTCGACTTTTACACGTCATGCACACGTTGGAGCGCTTGCTTTTAGATCTTACATTTTTCTCTGCATTAAGAATATCATAACACATCCACTAGTACATGACTTTACATTATGTATGAACGCACTTAAATGGACTTTACAGTGAGATCTCAACTGACAGTGATACAGCTCTTTACCTTCCGAGTGCTCATAATGGGTAATATAGTGATGCTTGTTTTAAAGAGTGTAACATGTACTGTAGATCTAGACTCGCAAACTCTGTTTGAGTTAGATCAGTTCTTAAGTTCACTAAAGGCTGGCCCACACTAAAAGATTTTTGAAATCTTATCAGATTTTCAAAATGTGAGAAACCACAAACATGATGATAAAAAAAAATGCAGATTTAAGAGTTTTGTTCCTATAGTGTGTGTATTGTCACACACTATAGGAATACACACTATAGGAACAAAACATCATTACAGACAGATTTCATGTTGACCTTAACCACTATGGCACCTCACTATTCATTTGTGGAGAATTGAGTTATTGTTCTTGTTTATACTGTTTCCTAAATGATGAGTAAATGGGAATCTCAGGGACTTGCGTTAAGGAAGGAGATGAAACTGAAAACCGTAAGAATAGAGCAGTGTGTTTCAGCCATAATAAACAGAACCACTGCGGATGCTTTACAAGAGCTCATGCTCTGTGTTCTCATAGACTTTTTACTCTTGTAAAGCATCCGCAGCAGTCTGTGTGCTTATGTAAGAGAAAGTGAGTGAGAGAGCGAGAGCAACAGGGATAGAGAAACGAAATGGATATACGTAGCGTTTCTCTATTTGTGACTGAGAGAGCTCCCCTGTGTGGCACAACTTCAAAGTCAGGGAGACCAGCGCATTTAAAAAATGAAATGAAATTCCCCACTGATTGCAGTGATGAGGCACTCTTCAAATATGAAGTAGCATCTCCTGTCTGATGCCTTTGTTCTTTTTCCGAATGCCTGAAACAGCAGGGAGCTGCTTGATTTTTTTGCAGATGCATTGCTGTTAGCTTTTAATTCTATTGAAAACACCTAGAAGATAAAAGCAAAGCAAATTCCCACACCTACAGACAGATTCATGCTGTTAACTGTGCTGTGTTTTCCATTATGTCATAAGTCTTAGACAATCAAATTTGTGAAAACGGATTTATATGTTGTCATTTCATTCCATTAAAGCAGCAGTGTGTGTTATATATATTTTTTGCACCATTTATGGCACCACATGGAACAAAAAGAATGTTTCCATAACATACTTAAAAAAAAAAAACAGAGACATAGTATCCAATACAACTTTTTTTTTTTAGAAATGAGTCAAAAGAAAACGCACGGTCACCTTTAGTTTTAAGATGTGAACGAGGGACTGAGGAAATTGATTTGATTGAACATTGGAGTTTTTGTTTTGCAAAGCAGCATAAATAATTACAAAATACAAATAAGAAATTACAAATTACAATGCACTGGATTAAAGGGTTAGTTCACCCAAAAATGAAAATTAAGTCATTAATTACTCACCCCAATGCTGTACCAACCCCGTAAGACCTTCGTTCGTCTTCGGAACACAAATGAAGATATTTTTGATTACATTTGAGAGGTGGATCACTGCTACATGGGCTGGGATCGAAACTTGACGGCCTAGAAAGTCAATGAAGTAAATGTTTAAATATTCCATGTGACAACAGTGGCTCAAGTATAAGTATTGTGCAAAAAATCAAACAAAAATAACAACAAAAAGTATTTGTAGGTGTTTGTAACGCTTGTAATGGCTGATCAAAATCATAAACATTTGTTGGTCAAAGAGCTTAAAATCCATTGGCCTTTTGTAAAGGGAACAAGGTGATACTAACTTCTCTAGGCCTACATCATCACTGCAGCACTTCATAGTAGGCTATTTTATAGCCTTTGCTATACAACAAGGGATGGTTTATATCTATTGTTATGATTATGTTAGGGATGGCTTGATACCACAATTTTGGCTTCGATACGATACCAGAACCTAATACCTAATACCACAGTCGGAAAAAAGTCTAAATTTAAGTGAATTGAAACAATTTTATTAAACACTGCTTGAAACTCTCAACTACCATATGTGCAAAGAAAAGTATCCAAAAAAAAAAAAAAAAAAAAAACATATCAAAATTTAAAAAATAAACAAATTATGTGTAGGTAAAATTTTGATTTGGGGAAAAAAAACACTGATATTATACAATTAAAATAGGTTAATATCTATAATAATATTAACATAATAGAATAATGAAATGACGTAAACCATTAGCTGTCATGCATCAACAGAGAATTATCAACATTTATTGCATTTATTTATCTTGGTTTGGTTACTGTTTGTGTTTGGGTTCATATTATGCATATAATGCATTGCAAAAAGTAATGTTATGATGCTAAACATTTATTAGGATATTACATTTTTAGGTCATTTTATTACTGATTGATCTAGATTAATCAATGCTATATTGTTAGCCCAGGTTCCTTAGTGAATGTTGACAAAATTAATTGTGGGCTAATATTATTAATATTTATATTACTACCATCTCTCTCTCTCTATGGGTCGCCACAGCGACAGTAATGCCATTCATTTTACTATCACTTTTAAGCTTTATTAATTCAAATTAAATTAATATATTTGTTTGAAACTGCAAAAATGATATCATAAGACGGTAACTTAACTGAATTGGTTCTAGCGTGTCATGCAAGAAGATTTGAGCTTTCGTGTTTACCGTATCATATTTAATTGATAAGCTCTTATGTATGTGCGCTGTTCAGTGTTCAATAAAAGTCTAAATTAAATCAGTTGAATGATGAACTCACCAGTTGATCTCTTGAACAAGTCACGATGAGCAACTGACGAGCGCTTGCATTCCATGGCAACACATTATTGAAAGCAAAGTTTGCAGAGCGGTGCATTGAGGTCTGTTTCTACACTATTCTCATTAATTTAGTAGGCAAAGTAATGCCTTATTTCACTCATACTGCTCTCTCTATTTATTAATTTCGGGCGTGTAGAAATCCGAATGAGCTTCATTTCCACCGTGGTCCTTCGTTTGCCGGTTTCGCGTGACTCGCGTCAGTTTCGGTAGCGCACCGCCGCCTAGTGGAGAACTTCGGAACAGCAGCTCATCAAATACCGAATTTAACAAAATGATGATATTGTACCGTTTGAAATTTATTATATACCGGTATTTTTGCAAAACCGGTATACCGCGCATCCCTAGATTATGTGTAGTTTTTTTTTACCGCTTAGATAACCAGTTAGCACTGCTAAACTAATAAGTTATCTTGCTTAAATGTTTAATTTGACCATCTTTAATTTTGGTGAGTAAATAAATATATTTTGTTTGAATGCCATAGTCATTAATAGATTCTCATAGATGTCTAAGCTTATTGAGCTGGAATAGTGTTTTAGTATCGAAAAAAAATACATACAAGATCACAGCAAAATACATCATGCAGCTCGATTGCCAAGATAGTTAGACTTTCCACAAATACTCGTCTGAAAGGTTAAAAGCATCACATGACTGTGACTGGGGTAAAGTAGGCGGGGTTTGTGCCGCTCCAGCCCTGTGTAATTGCTCTGTGACTCATGCCTAATGCTAACAGAGAAATGATGGAGGGTGTGGAAGCTTTTACATCTTTCCCTATCCTGACATTCCCCTGTTTCCAATCCTCTCCTTTGCAAACATCTGCCAGAAGTCTTCAGCTGGTGAACAGATGTTGCATATCCTCTCATCTGTAACCGAGGATCCCGCTGGAATCAGGTGGAGGATGAAGAGTCGGAGGAAACAAACAAATACCCAGTCTCAATTTGACTGTGTATTTTAGGCCAAATATGGAAATAAAGATGAGAATGGTGCTTCATGGATCAGGGATGCTTAAAGTAATGCTGGGCTTGACGAATTGCATCAGAGACCTGAAATCTTGATGAAATCTGACTCAAGTGGCCATGGTGTCGTCTGCTTTTTGACTGATAATATTATCCTTTCATGTGTCACCTATACCATTTCCATGCTCAAACAGTTGACCTAAAGTGGAAGGAAGGAGTTTATGGAAAGTTTTATATGTAAACACAGAACAATGTGAACAATGTAAACTGTATGAAGTCTAGAATGTCCAAAAATTCTATAGAACATCTACATTACAAAATTAAAAAAGAGAAAAATGCCATTTGATATGCAACTGAAACATGGCACAATCAGAGAAGGTTGGATCTGTCTATCCCGTTTTCTGTTTACCCTCCTGCCCTCGATCAATATGTCTTTTGCGGAGCCCATCACATCTATTATTGCAGCATTTGCTCACTATGGTGTAGTGGTTTCACTCACTTTCAGTTTTTCTTCAGTTTGAGTGAGGCTAGAAAATAAACGTATTCAATTCCACAAAGAAAAATAGCTTTTGCTGTTTTATAACAATTTAATCATTTACCCCCATTATCCATCACTCCATCTTGAGTTTGACAATAGATCTGATAACATGAACCAGGAAACCTGTGCTTTCTTTGTTTCCAGGCCATACCTGGCCATAAACCACAGCCAATGTTAGCCTGCTGGCTAAAAAAGCAAGAAGCACATTTCACAAGCTCTTTTTCAATATGCATTATGAAGTCAAGTGTTCTAGCTTACACAGGTTTGAGCTGTTTTCTTTTCAGCAGGGTATTCAGAATTTACAAACTGATTTGCTTTGCATGCTGCACAACGAAACACACCACACCCATGCATTGGGAAAGACAGATGACAGAAAACTGAGCCAGTTCTTCACTGATGATAATGGCAAGTCTAGCCAAGATGACTGGGAATAATTTAAGTTGGAAAGTATATGTGTAGCACGTTGAACAACTTTGTCTGTATGTCTCTAAGAGTTGATGATGTTGACCTTTACCAGATCTTTCATATGTTTAGAAAAAATAATTAGTCTTTACATGGCCTCTGAATGGGATTTCTTTAAGCATTCGTTAGCCTGTATGCTAGCAGTTTACTTTTTTCTGTGTAGGTGCCATGGTGAGGGCAAATGAACAATTTTATTATTATGTAGTCTTAACTTTTTATTTTTTAGTGTGTTTGTGCCAAGCGTGGTACACAAGTCCTGAAAAGTGAAGCCAAAGTGTCTCGATTGCCCCCAGGTGGTTTGTCAAAGTAAAATAAACCCCGCCCTCTCTATGTAATTTAATGGGACGTGAGACAAACTAAACAATTAAGGGCCCTTTCACACCTACCTTGTTTGATCCGAACTTTCTGACTTTTCAGCTTTACAGAAAGTGTATTTCAGTTAGTTATTTATGTATTAATTTAGGGCATAACATATCGCCGGCGTTGAGTCGTCTCTTCACAGGCGTTTAGTCATCTCATCGCAGGTGTTGGGCCATCTTAAAGGATTAGTTCACTTTTGAAAAAACTTTTGCTGATAATTTACTCACCCCCATGTCATCCAAGATGTCCATGTCTTTCTTTCCTCAGTCGAAAAGAAATTAAGGTTTTTGATGAAAACATTCCAGGATTTTTCTCCTTATAATGGACTTCAATGGGAACCAGGTCCAACCGAGGTCCAAACGACAGTTATAACAGTTTCAGATGCAGCTTCAAATGTCTTTAAACGACACCAGACGATGAATAAGGGTCTTATCATGCGAAACGATCGGTTATTTCAAAACTTATTCCAAAAATGTAACTTTTCTAAGGACAAATGCTAGCCTTGTAATATATTGTGAGGCGCGTTTGCAACGTCACGTAATACGTAATTACGTTCAAAAGGTCACGGGCGACGTAGCCGGAAGTACAGAATCAAAATCGTCCGACATCGTTGTTTTACCTTTTAATTCCTTTTTTGTAAACGGCATTTGAGTTAGTTTCCACGTTCAACCTATGCGTTCAACTTGTAAACACTCTGACTCTGTACTTCTGGCTACGTCGCCCGTGACCTTTTGAACGTAATTACGTATTACGTGACGTTGCAAACGCGCCTCACAGAATGGAGAAAGGCTAGCATTTGTCCTTAGAAAAGTTACATTTTTGGAATAAGCTTTGAAATAACCGATCGTTTCGCATGATAAGACCCTTATTCATCGTTTGGTGTCGTTTAAAGACATTTGAAGCTGCATCTGTAACTGTTATAACTGTCGTTTGGACCTCGGTTGGACCTGGTTCCCATGGAAGTCCATTATAAGGAGAAAAATCCTGGAATGTTTTCATCAAAAACCTTAATTTCTTTTCGACTGAGGAAAGAAAGACATGGACATCTTGGATGACATGGGGGTGAGTAAATTATCAGCAAAAGTTTTTTCAAAAGTGAACTAATCCTTTAAGTCTCCGTGAGAGGCTGGATACAAACTGGAGCTGACGAACACTATTTACCTCGGGACAGGCGTCCCGAGATAACAGCAGAAAAGCATGAACCATTGGACCATATATGAATATTTCAATGATTCAAATTTTCTTTTTGATGGAATACAAGACATTTTTACTTGTTGCGTTGTGTGCGTTTTGAGCTTCTTTTTTAGTACCAAGTGAAGGTTCTTGAGTACCATTCAGTTGAGAGTCTCAAAGAAAAACAGACAGACCTCAACTTCAGAGTCTAAAATATAAATATTCTTAATAGGGTCTTTTTTTCCAGTTTGTTCATATCATTGGTGT